CAAAAGTTGTTACCGCCAGTACTAAAATCAGCATAGCTATCCAAGAAATAGTAATAAACAGTATTTCTGTGCATTTATAAACCCATCTCTTAGTGGGGTAATGCTCATTATTTGTTCTGTTGTTAGACTGAAAAAAACAGGAGATTCAAACCACTTTAAAAATCCGCGATAGTACATGATGTGTCCAGAAGACAGATTAAAAAGATTTCAAAATATTTGAAAGGGAGAACGTGACTAAATATTTTCCGTGAAAATTTTTCGATAACCCAAGATTTAAGCAGGTAGTTGTAACCTATATACATATAATATTAGTCGTAAGTCATTCCATGGACGAATATTGCGGTAACATTTGAGTTTTCGTTGTCATATGCTTTCACGAAATGCAGTGTTGAAGATAATTCACCCTGTTCAGCAAGCATAATTTCTTCATCCCCATCTTTAGATAAAATGTGGTGAACCAGGTCGTTCCGACACCAGACTACAGCAGTAGGCGATAATACTATTAGGTCATGATTTTGATATCAAATATTGCCGCATAAAAGTTTCTGGATGTGCAGTTGCACTTTCATGACTTAGAAATCTGTGTCCTACACCCATCGGGGACATATTGATTACATTAGCATCCAAAAATAACCATTTAGTTCGCCTACTGGATTAAGCAATTGGCACACTTCCTGACATAGCTGCTGGAAACGAATTTCACAAAGGTTAAATCATACAGGTGGTTACGCATTATTTACAGGCGAAAGAGCCGAAGAACTCTTCTACCAGTGACCTATCACAACTGTTTTGCAGAGTAGAGTTCCCTTATCTGCACTTGCTTCATATTCAGAGAAAGCGTATCAGTACCAAAGTTTCTTTCCCTACAAGTCCCAAAGCAGTTTCACACTGGTCCTTGAAAGGTCAAACATATAATAGCTTTTGTCAGAAGCTTTACTTATCAGCTTAGAGTGCAGTGTAATAAAGCCGAGGTTTTTTATCACTCTGAATCATGTCAGAAGGCAGCGAAGAAACTTGGGCACCTTCTGTGGAGACTGCACGGAATTATGTATAAGCAACTTAAATTAAAAATAATGCTTCCCTTTCATCGCTTTTTACACATTTCGTACATTCTTTCTGGTACTGGTAAAAACGAATTTTGTTTATTTACACACATTTTGGTTGTGAAGGTATTACAGGATTTTACTACTTCTGCTTTTGAACGTTGAAATATAGCTCACTTCTATCTACTCCAGCTTCTGCCTCCGTTGACCATTGTCTAAAGTGAATACTCGTTGATTGTCCTTGGACTTTACAGGACTGCTCATCTTACTTCCAAATATCACATCAACCAAGCCAACCATTATGGACTGTGGAGAGCTAATAGGTATCGCCTTCTGGACTCTGGAGTATACTAAATTGTGGTGGACAGTTCCGAAGAGATAACATTCAAATAACCCGTTATTATCCATAGCATTTACACTACTATTTGATGCTATAACGCGTGACTTTTCATATTTCTGTATCAGTGAATCTGTTATTGTAGATTATACATAGTTTTACATTTTGGTTTACTTGATATCTCTTTGGGTCCACTTAAAATTTATTAGTAAGCCCGACGTGATTTGAACTCGCAGCCTTCTGATTGTCTAACGTGAATACTCATTGATTGTCCTTAGATCTTAACAAAAAGTACACTTCTTGGAGGTAGAAACCCCTCCTATTCAGGACAGTCTTGTTCCATCGATTTCGTGTGGTTTGGAGTTGTTGGTATCTGATTCACGAGATAGCCACCATTCGAGCGTACATATTATATACACTCGGAGGCATAACGACTCCAATATCACCTGCAGATTCTTAGACATAAAAGTACGAATGTTTGCAAGTAAATATGGGCCAGAAGTTGCACTGCAGGGTGCAATTTAAGTGTATGGGAAGTTACTGCGACATGAATTTCTAGAACGCACATCAACATTTCAACTTATTGCAAGTTTCCTGTACTCAACGACAAACTGGACGAACATTGACGACTCAACTTGGTTTCATAATAGATGCTCCACTGGAAAAAAAATTGATATAAACCCACGAGTTATCAGTGAGAATATGCTCCTGTAACAAACAAAGCCGGCTAACTCAATAGAAACAGTGCAATACCCTGGGTAAAGAATGAGTCAGTGATTAGATTACGGGCTCTTGTCAATTGTGGAACGGGAGTTCATCATGCAGACAAGTCACCGCTAACCTCAACACACTATGCTTTGCGTTAGTTGAACCAGAATGAACCACAACATGACATCAATTCACAAAGTCAGAAGGTTAACATCACCTCGTAAGTTTCAGTTTACGGTATTGGTTAGGCGACCAAAACCGATGTTTAGAAATTGCAAACAATAAAACTAAAAATCGGTTGGGAATGAGTTCACCACTTATCCTCACATAAACAGTAGTATCAAAAATCTACAAGGTATCTTAACCAAAATTCTCAGGTTGAGATAGAGAATAAAGAGTATGTGTTAGAAGAAAGATAAGGCAAGATTCAAATCAATGGTTGTTAGTGATTCATCACACATGCCTAGGTTTAAGCATTCAAACGCCTTCTTCCTTTTGTAATGTAGCAAAGCATCCCAGAGTAAAAAGTGGTTAGGTATAAATTCCAGTTATTGAAAAGCTGATGAATGGGTACACCTCATCTGTCTTTAGATTTTGAGCCTTACTTCAGTAATACTAGTTTAATCATTTACACTATGAGGAATTTTCGTGAATATTTTACCATCAGCAGACACGTTAAACCAGTTTACGAATATAAATTGTTGTGCTCGTCGTTAAGTATATATATAACAAATGGAATAAATAATGTTTATGGCAGCAGTTTGACCATCTAAATTATTTAGTATATGCAGTCGACAGCGATATGAATAAGGAAGCAGAACTAAAATTGATCATATGCACTTTTTAGACACAACAATTAACATCCCATTTTATTTTGATTATTCGATGCATCATACAGTGAAACATTACTACTTACTGGTTAGCGTTTGTTGTCCATAGTCATACCAAAGTAACTCTATAGCTGAGAGACATGGTATACAAAGTTCTAATTCTTTCATCTTCTGTGTGATATAGGTAGTAGAGTCTTCCATATATCCGAAACAGGTACTGAGTCCTTCATGTTGCAAGTATTCAGTGTTGATTTGATAAAAACAATGATTCGGTTGTCGATCTCTACATCCACCCTCTTGAGTTACATTTAAAGATTTTAATCCTGTCCCATCCTATTGTATGTGTTTGCATGCATTACAGTAACTGAGCTTTTCTTCAAATTTCTAAAATTACTAGAGTCTATCATTCTGAAGTTGGTCAATATATTGTGATCTTCTATTCCAATTGACTACCAAAACGGATTCAGTTAACTAATTTATTTTGCCTAATCGAATCAATAGGATCTTATAACCTGCAAAGATTGATTCTAAGTACAGTCCTAAACTACTCAACCTTATTGAGAACCTTCTAATCTATGATAAGGATAATTACACATTTTGCCCTTCGTCTTCTGATATCTATTTTAGCATTCTCGGTTAAAGAAGTTAAAAGAGATGTCAAACCAATTCCACAATGCGTTACCATGAACTGATCACATCTACGCTTTTTTTTCAACTATCCCTAATATGAAGCAAATATTGAAACCACTGATATGGTAAGCGGCAAACATCTCAGATCCCCTTAAGCTATACCTATCAAATGACAGTATCTCCAATATATATCTAAACACACACTAATGGATCTATCCTAAAACTACTTGAATATCATTACCAGCGGATGCAAGCAATTCTACAAGTATAGAAGTAATCGAAAGTAGATTTATCAAGTTTCTATCTGAAGGAGTGTTTACATGTCACATCATACTTAATAGTACACCAGTACTTTTACAAATATAAGATTTTGGAAAATAACAAATAATTGACATCATCCCCACCATACTGATCGGTTTCACAAGATCAATTTGTATAATAAAATCTTATATTTCAATTTATTCGAAAAAGTTACCACCTTATACAATTTATTATTTGAACATAATCATAATAATAGTAAGTAGAATGAGACAAAAAATGTAATGTCAACATACAAAGAGGTAACAAAAGCATACTCCTTTTCAACTTGACGTTATCATTATCTCAGTTCAGATTTATTAAAACACCGGATGAAATAAAGTATAAAGTTAAAGGAGAACTGAGCAAATATTTTTTTTCCTTCAAAAAAAAGAAAAGAAGATGAGATAAGAGGAAAACTGCAACGATGAAGAGTAATGAAAAAAAAGGAAGCAGAATAAATCTAGCCAGACTTGATATACAAAACAGCTGGAGATCATCATAGTTTTGTTTGATTAACACACTACAATATTCATTGCCAGTTTTTAATGAATAACGAAAACACATGATCACTAGAGAGAGAGAGAGAGAGAATGTATAATATAGGTGCTAAGGGACTGAAATACAATGGGGAATAGCTTAACTTGTACAAATCCTGTGTAAATATAGAACAATCAAAAGAGGATTAAACACAATGGATAAGTAGGAGAGAACAAACAAATACTGAAACTGATAACGCAATAAGTATTATAAAGCAACACTTCATTATTGTATTTCCTTGTTATTAATCAATAATATATTAAGCTAATAATAGATACAAATGAGTAAAGAAGAGAAAAAAAGAGAAGAGAAATGAGAACAAAGCACTAATCAATATCATCACATTTCAACAACAACAAAAAAAAAAGAGGATAAAAACAAGAAAATCTCCCTAATATTAACTATAATAAGGTTAGACATTTTACGCCTGAAATTATAGGGGAAAAAGAAGGGAAATATTATATATACATATACTTGTGTTCTCTCATAACATTGATCCCCTCCCGCCTTTCATTGTAACCATATTATAATAATAATAAATAGTTAACAACAAATTAACAAGAGAAAAAAAATGACAAGAAAAACATCATAACTTTTATTTATTTATTTTTCATACTAAACAGGTATTTCTTGAAGATTATCTGAGGCATAAATTTCACCATATATGCCTATTTCAGATGGATTGCTTAGCATGGACTTTGGATCAGATAAAACTTTATGTTGGAATGGGATTTCTGTTTTTTCGGCTATTAATTCTTCATCTTTACAACTGACTTGTTGTTCTTGTTCTTTATGTTTTGCGATTAAATTGAACTGTCGCCTTTTGAAATGTAAACAGAAAAAAAAAAGTTTTCAAGGTTATTTTCAACACGAAGAATAACATAAACTAGACAATCAATGAAAATAAGGAGGTACAAGATAACTGTTTCACCCTAATTCAGGACTGTTTACTACAGCACTAATGCGACCCTATATGAAATCAAGGACATAATAAGTGAGGATGTTTCCATCTAAACATTGGGTTGGTATCTCAATCAACATTTACGTTCAAATCCGATAAGGCTAACTGCATATGTCATGCCTTGAACGATATCTTAGAAGAAAGGGATCCTCCTAAGCAACTACAAATAACGTCATCTAGACCTACGACTGGTAACTGCAACAGGAAGCTTTGTTCATAATTCCGTGAAAAAGCGATTACTGTTTAAAGACTATAAGGTTGCATATGTTTTGCTCTTTAGGGCTGAAAAAAGCTTTCAAACCTTCTTCTCACCGGGATTTCAACTTATATCAGTAGTATTACAAGTAAACTACCGGCATACTGACCAATACTATTGCGCACGAGACCCACTGAGCATTGGATAAACGTATCACCTCATCGAAGTAACTATACACTCAATTGGAAATAATTCGTTGGTAGATGTTTGGATACATACGTGGACAAGATAGTAAAAAGAATCTACAGTTGACCATCTTATTACTGTTATTCTAATGTAGTTTAATGATTCACGTGTTTGTTCATCGAAAAATTGAAAGTGATCGATCAACCTCAATTGCAGCACGTCACAATGAAGAATAGTGACTCTGGTCGAACATTACCAGTTCTAATTGTCCAAACGATGTGACTGGTATGAGCTGTCAGACAACATACTTCTTGACAAGGAATGGCTGCAACATCATCTTAGACTGCAGGCAAATCCATTTCTCCCCAACGAGACTATACAGATATTTATAAATATGAAGATGACATAAGAAAAAAACTATGCCACAGTTTGTTTGTGTATCATTCTACCCTTTATACCCCATAAACACGAACATTTTAAAATACTGTGTCATGTTGCGGCTAAATTCGTTGGACATGGACAAACAAGCTTGTAGGTGGTGTATTGAAAAGTTTTCATTGTCTTGTCTAAGGATACTAAAGGGATGTCTTTTCAAGTGGGCTTGTCTTTAAAAACACGGGGCCATATCTGGCGTTGCATAGTGTCATAAGCTCACTATCAACTCGTTCTGAGGTGTTTTTTTCATAGTTTTGTACTTCGTACACCTTGAACAATGCTATAAAGATCAACTACAATTCAGTAGATAAAAATATACTGTGTTAGATGTAGAAAATATCAATACCTTTTTAGGATACAGTTAATGAAGTGACCTAAGCAATGGTGATACATTTGAGAAAAAAAATTCAAGGCGAAATAAGTTCCTCAAACGGATTAGCAATTCCGAAAAGGTATTATATTCACTAGATCTATTCATGAAATCTAGTTTCTTATTTTCCTTGCTTCATAAGATTTTTCCTCGTCATTGAATAGAAAGGATTGGAGCATTACAGTGGATCTAAAAAACCTGCCAAATTATCTAATAATTTCTTTCCCCTTAACTTACCTTCAGTCTAAATATCAGTCTGTATTCGATTTTGATAAAGTGTTGAATGGTATTACGCAGTTAACTCATCATCATTATCAACATAGGACCAGGCATTACTGCATAACGGTCCAGCTTGCCACACCTCATATCACACTACATCAAGTAGAAGGGTAGAGTGAGGTGGAGGATGAAGATAAGTGAATGCAGTCAAAAGAAATATAAAGTACGAGAAGAAAAGAAAGAGGAGTGACAAAATGGTGAGATTCGGTATAGCGTTGTTAAGATGAGGATAATGTGTGTATACATCTGCTCCAGTGACATCGGTTCTGACCCATATCACCTAGGGTCTCCAACCACTGGTTCCTCTTGTCCCGTGGACCCCAACCACCTAGTCTGCATCGTCCTACATGGCTTAAACCAACAGTCAGAGACTTCATACATTGGTGCGATGTTTTAGTCTGTTCACCTCGGGCCTTTTTCCAGCCTGGACCCACCTCAGCCAACATTGTGTGACAAGGGAATCGGTGACTACGCATACGTAGTACGTGTCCCAACCATCTCAGTCGATGAAGGTTCATAACCTCGTCAACTGACTTACCTCTTCTCCCCAAAACTCTACACCTGACTTCTGCATTACTCACGTGGTGTGGTGACACCATGGAATACGGCAGCCTATACTATGAAGGCAGCGGTGGTCAAACACCTGAAGCCTTCTCACATCTTCCACTTTCAATGGCCATGTTTCACAGCCATACAGTAGAACAGAGTGGACTGCTGTGGAGTACACGCGACCCTTAATAGACAAACGAATATCACGGCGGCGCCATAGATGGCGCAAATTGGCAAAAGCCAATCGAGCCTTTTGTATCCGTTCAGAAATCTCATCGGCAACTAACCCACCGGGGTTGATACTACTTCCAGGTAAGTGAAGTGGTCAACACACTCAGTTAACTGAGGAGGAAATCCGACTAGCATAAATAGTGATTTGTATAAATTCCTAATCAGAACTTTGTGAAGTATATTGCAATATGATATACAAAACCTGTGTCACTTAAAGGGTAGAAAAGAAAGGTAATTAGCACAAATCTATTCAATCAATTTCTTCGCTAAGTTGCTGTACTTCATCTAGCGCTAGCAGCTACTTCATCTTTCATTACAACGGTCAGACACACTATACATCATAGTTATAATGACTGAGACTATAAGTGATACATTAAAGAGAGCTTGGTATCACTTAACATTTATTGTCAGTAAAAAATCAATCAGTAAGTATCAAATATTGTTAATATTTTCTTACTTAGCTAACCAATAGGTAATTGTTGACCCAATCAAACTAATCACCTTCAATGCACACACAGCACCAAGCCATATAAAGGGTAAACCTTCTAGATTATACTCTAAACAGCCACCGGATACATTATCAACTATAGGTTGTTGATCTGAAGACATAGAGGCAGTAGTAGCAGCAATAGCAGATGTAGACAATGAATTCTGTAGTAACAGGAATGACGTTGATGTTGGTTGAGTTTTATTCATTAAGGTAGATGTTTCATAATTTGTTAGCTTTGAAGGTGATGAATGATGATTCACTGAATTGGAACGATATTGGCATGCCAAATCAAAAAGTTGTCCAAAGTATATAGGTGCTGGTATATAAGCTGGCAAGAAAAGAAATACATCAAATAGCTGAGTAATATTTTAGCCGTTTTAAAGGCAAACGTAAGTATTAAAAATAAGATATTCAGCGAAGAGGACTCTTTTCAACGAATTTATTCTCAACCTGTACATTTGTATATATGTGATATTTAAAGACTGTAGTCCATGAGGAAGATTTATCTTAAATAATGGGGGGGGGGGGGTGAAATAATAATAATAATCGTGGTGATCTATGTTTATCTACCAGTTCACCTGCTGATGTGGAGCAAGATAAATCGGCCGTAGTTAGACACTGCTGTCAACACGTATACGAGAACATATTCCGCCCTGGTTTTTATAAGGGTGAAAGGAAATGCATCAGAAGATCTATCCTTGAAAGTATTTAATCAATTCCAACCATTCAACCGACTCAAACAACGATTTGAAGGTTGTCTATCGAACTCACTCAAACACCTCACATTTCCTGCGTGTTCGGCTTCTAAAAACAGCAGAGGCCTTGATTATCCATGGAATGAAGCCTGACCTTTGTGTGCAAAAGAAGTATGTACAGTCTTTGTCTCTACCTTGGACTTAACTTAGTCTTGGTGTCCTTTATTCCCCTTTCGTTTTCAACCCCCTCTCCTTTTTGTTAGATTAATCTTTGTACCCTTATATCGTTATTATCATTTTTACATTTAAGAGTTCCTCATAGTCGCAACTTTTAACAAAACACTTTCAATTTATTCAAATTAACCTGTTGTCTCATTCATATTACCTAATCACCTTTGATTGTTTTCTAACTCTATCACGTTTTCACCTATTTTTAATCCATATGTACTTTATAAACGATTAAAAGATCTTACGTAACCCTTTTTGTTATCATTCAACCTTTACGTCACCAACTAGCAACATTATTATTATTATTATTATTTCACCCCACTCATTATTTAAGTTAAATATTCCACATGGATTACAGTCTTCAAATATCATATATGTATAGACGAATGTACAGCTTGAGAATAAATTCGTTGAAAAGAGTCCTCCTCTTCACTGAATATCTTGTTTTAGTTTCAAAGACAAAATCATAAAGTACGTAGATAGCTTTATGGAGTCAAATTAAGTGGCCCCATATGTTTTATGGCTTCGCTTTACTATTCGACTCACCCATGAAAACAATCGTAATGAAACTTCTGAATGCTGAGTTCATGGTCAGTGCAAGAATTATCCGGCAACAACGCAATCTCGTATCACAATAACACCGTGTTATATTATTGGCCTTGTTCAGGCTATTATTGTCCATTCATACGTCACCATACGGTTTCTGTATATGCTCGCCTCGACATCACTCATGCATGTGGGTGTAGAAGCGAAAAAACTGCATGAATATTTCTCAAAGATCTATCAAGCTACAAATTTAATTAATCAGCAGCCAACAACTTTCGAGTTAATCATGCTCTTCTAACTACCATTGTGATTATTATCATTATCCCAACCGCCCATTATTTAAAATAAATCTTCCTCATGGATTACAGTCTTTAAATATCACATATATACAAATGTACAGGTTGAGAATAAATTCGTTGAAAAGAATCCTCTTCGCTGAACATTTTGTTTCTATTGTCACAATGGGAATTATAAATGTAAGTACGTTCACGAAAGTGCGCTTTTGGTATGATCCGCTGTCAACTTAATTCACAGAGTATTTCTAAAGATTGGAAACTGTAATGAGACAAAAGAAGAGGAAGTTGGATACCACTGTAGAGTCTAACAACTTCGCACAGGTTTATTCACTAGATTATCCATATCGGATGAGAGTTCAGGATACTAACCAGCTGTTACGTCGTGTTAGATGAATCGAATCCGGTTCTAAATCTGTGAAAATTATTCATTTGGAGTCAACTGTCTACAAAACTGGAGTTACAATTCTAATATGGAAGATTTGCTAACTAAACAACGAAAGTTACCATGTACTTATAAGACGTGACTTTAAAGACCATCCCTACAACTGCCAAGATAGTCAATTACACATCTTTTTGTCTTAGAAAAAGCCACTTTTCCAGCCGAAATATCAAAACCTAATTGGTTTTTTCAGCAGTTGTTGGGATGACATTTCAAGTTACTCATAACTGCATATAGTCGGTGAATATATGCACTGTGATAGCCTTGGTACTCATTTTACCATCAGTATATTTTACTCAAGTAAGTCGAAATGCCGCCTTAGTTACTCCTGCGATAAGCAATGTTTTCTTAATTTTAAGAAAAGCTAACCCTCTTAGACAAATGTCAAAATCTGATTCCTCAAACTCCCAGGCGTTACAGCGGCCTATAAAGTCACTCTCTGATTTCATTTATTTGTTCTCACGCCTACACATGCGCTGAAATGCAGGCTTGACTTTAAAGCCCACTCAAGCAACTGCAAAAATAACCAATCAGGTCTCATTATTCCGTCCATAAAGGAGGTTAGTCACAAAATATAGCAGCCTAATTGGTTATCTCAGTAGTTGCTAAGGTGGCCTCTAAAATCGCTCGAAATGAAGTATAGAATGTTGAAAAAGTACCATTTCAGAAACTCAGAATATAACTATCTTAGCGAATACGTATTTTCGGTAAATTCCTATCAGGCTTTACATTTACATTTACAAGTTATTCAGCATAGTCATTTGATATCAACATGGTTAAATTAAATTAATTCGGGTATATGAATTACGAGATAACAGTAAAGGTGATAATAACAAAAAAATCTCGTAAAGTTTATGTAGTCTCAGTAGTCAATATCCTTGCAGGTCTGTGTGTGTGTGTGTGTAGGGATAGAGGGAAATAAAATTATTGTCAAGTAGCGATTAGATAATAAAATGTTAAAATTCAGTTATGAAACTAAGGGCGAAGAAAAAAGATTTTAATTGCTATGTCTTCTGCTATGCTTAACAATCGGAGATGCACAAACTTGGAGTATTGTGATGGGACTTTGTGAATAGTAGTAAATGCTATGGGTTTTGTCAATCTTATGCTCAGTATCTACTAGATGGGTGGGTATTGAGCTTTGACGGATTTCACTGTTCTTTTACCTAACCATGCTGGACAGTGTTCAGTGAAGCGATGATGGGTTTGCCGATTTGTTCTACCTCCATGTAACTATCTCCATAGTAGCATATAGATGTAGTCAGATTCGAAAGCGGATGCTGTCATCTGTTAGTCTTGATAAGAAAACATCTAGAAATGGCAGATATCCGTCTTGCTTTGTTTCACATGTGAACTCAATTTCTGGAAGAAAACTGTTCAATGTATTGAGAAGATACATGTGTATGTGGACGACACTTTCACTTTGTACAAAAATAATACTAATCCTGATGTTCTTCAGGATACATTCAACAGTGCTCATACAGAAATCGAGTATAATAGGAACGGCCATCCTGAAGCGTTCGTGAAGGCTGTAACAATGAAAAAAGCTGGAGAAAAGCACCTTCAAATAGTGCCAAAAAGACGATTTTATCTAACCTTAGGCATTTAACAGGAGATGTAGCTGCAGAAACACTGACACTGGAGCTCAGAAATCTGATACAAAAAACCTTCTTAGCCGCCACACTATGTTTAAAATCTACTACTCGCTGTATGACGGCAATCCAATTGAAGGATAGGCTTTCGAATCGGGCCACATCTGTGTGCATTTACAAATTTAAATGCTACTATGGAGATAGTTACATAGAGGTAGAACAAATCGGCAAACCCATCATCGCTTCACTGAACACTGTCCAGTATGGTTAGGTAAAAGAACAGTGAAATCCATCAAAGCTCAATACCCACCCATCTAGTAGATACTGAGCATAAGATTGACAAAACCCATAGCATTTACTACTATTTACAAAGTCCCATCACAATACTCCAAGTTTGTGCACCTCCGATTGTTAAGCATAGCAGAAGACATAGCAATTAAAATCTTTTTTCTTCGCCCTTAGTTTCATAACTGATTAAGAATTTTAACATTTTATTATCTAACCGCTACAAGACAACAATTTTATTTCCGTCTATCGCTGCACACACACAACCTCGACTGGTTAACTAGTTCACTAGTTACTAGCCGGTCCGAAGACCGGGTAAAGAGGGAAGGTTGAGCATACGGATAGCAACCCTAAACAGAAAAACTAATCCATTCGTTAAACAAACTTCAAACCACAAAGGAATCATTAAAAATATTAACTTATTCATCGCTGCAATCAGAGGGACGAAATGACACCGGTTGCTGAAAGCTTTCGGAAACCCACTCCGCCGATGTAGCTTCTCTTCTCTCCATGAAAGCAAAACTAAACATACGGACATGGAATCTCCGCACCATGTATGAACCTACTAAGCCTGCCCAGATTACCAAAAGGAGATGAGGAGCTATGGCATAGAAGTGCTAGGAATCTGAGAAAGCAGGTGCAATGGAAGTAAATCCTCTCAACTCCTAACTAAAGAGTCAATAATCTACTCCAATATTGTCACCCAGGTGACAACCACCAGCACACTGAGTTTTACAGTGGCTATCATGATGTCCCCAACATCATCGAAGGCTCTCATACACTGCAAACCAATCTCACCCTGCAATCATAACAACTACGATCAACTAAAAAGGAAGGAGAGTCACAATCATTCAATGCTACGCTACGCACCTACAAATAATGCAGACACGGACCAAGAGAAGAAGGAGGAATTCCACAGACAACTGCAATCAACACTCAACAAGACCCTATCCCAGATGGCGACATCAAACTCATTCTAATGGGCTACATGAATGCCAAACTCGGAGCAGACAACACACGAGGAGAACTCATCATGGATGGAGAAGCACTCGATTAAATGAATGAGAATGGAGAACTGCTTACAGATTTCTGCCAGTCAACCATTACACGATTGCAGGAGAGGCACTGTGTTCAAGCACAAGCACATTCCACATAGCGACATGGACTTCACAAGACACCAGGAAACACTACACAAAAATTCACATCCACTTCATCTCAATCTCAAGAAAGTCGAGACCAAGACTACGTAACACAAGATCAAGAAGGGGAGCAGATGTAGCTTCACACAACTCACTATCTACTGCAAGCAACCTAACTTCAAAATCAACCTCAAAACCTTCAAGGAAGTTGGTGATAGACAACAGTTCAAGTTCAACACACACAACACAAACTGAAGGACAAAACTACAAAAGAAATATTCACGTCAGTCAGCCATCAAGACAAAATCGGAGATATCAAGCAACATCCCTGAAGAAACATGTGTGGATGAACACTGCAACTCTTTGAAAGCTATGTGCAAAGAAACCTGCATAACCGTACTAGGCAGGAAGAAGAAAGAAGATAAGGAATGGATCTCGACGGACACATGGAAGCTGATAGAGCAGCAAGACGAGGATGGTGAAGCAGAAGATAAATCATTTCAAACATGAACAACGAGAAGAGGAACTGAGTACAATGTAGAAACACTACACTGGACAAAGAAGTGAAGAAGAGTGTGTGAAAAGACAAAAGACACTTCTACGACACACTCACAAGTAAAGCGGAACAGGCTGCAGCTAAGAGGGACAGAGACCTGACAACAATATATCAAATAACCGGGTTACTATCCGGGAAGAGGTCAACTCAGATGGAACCAAGGAAAGATAGTGAACGAGACATAGCTAACACCAAGGAAGAGAAACAAAAGAAACAATGGGCTGACCACTTCAAAAAGCTCTTGAATCAACCACCATCACCACCTGCACTTCGTCCACAAATCCATCAGCTACGGCAGAACCACCATTGAACATAGGCTCTCCGACAAAAGCGGAAGTCCTGAACGCCATTAAGTTACTGAAATCCAGGATAGCAGCAGGAGCAGATGGAATTCCACCAGAAGAACTGAAAACACACGCAGGGACAACAGCGGACATGCTCACACCTCTATTGCAGAAGGTCTGGGAGGAAGGAAAGGTACCTGCAGTTTGCAAGAGGGGCTACCTTGTCAAATTCACAAAGAAGGGCGACGTAACTCTGCAAGAACTGGCGAGGAATCATGCTACACACCTGTCAAACCCAAGGAAAATATTAAGCCACATCATCCTGGAGAGACTAAAGGATGCACTGGATTCAAAACTACGACCAGAACAAGTTGGCTGGATTCAGAAAGTACAAATCATGTGCCGACCAAGTTGCAACGCTACTCTACACATCAACATACAACAGAGTACAGAATGACAGTCAACTCTCTACTTCAACTTCATCCACTTTGAAAAGACCTTCGACAGTGTCGATCGACAAGTAATTTGGCAACTGCTCCAACATTACGGAATACCACAAACCTTTACCAACCTCATTCAACAGCTATGTGCTTTATGATGCTACATGCCGAGTGATTTACAATGGAAAGCTCAGTGACGCCTTCGAAGTGAGGTGAAGATAGGAGTAAGACAAGACTGTCCACTATCACTGATGATCTTCCTGATTGTGGTCAATTGGATCATACAGCAAAATGTGAGGAGCGAGAAGATGGGCATACGCTGTTTAGCCGATGAAAAAAACCTATAAGATTTGGTTTTCGCCCATAATGATTTATGTCCGATGTCGCACAAACTCGAAGCTCTACAGGCGAAAAGTGACAAGTTGACAGAAGAGGTGAGGCAGCGAAGACGGGACTTCAAGTGAACGTGGAGATGACAAAGGTTATGAAAATGCTCAATCAACGACAACAAGTTCCGATCACCATTAACGGTAGAAACTTAAAGGAAGTTGTCTCTTTCACATACCTGGGCAGCACCCCCTCAACTACAGGCGGCACAGGTACACATAACGATGTCAAATCCAGTATCGGAAAGACAGAGACATAGGCATTCATTAACCTGGAATCAATGTGGAGATCTACCGCACTCAGCATAAAGTGTGAACAACATCCGGATTTTCAACACCAATTCAATCAAGTCAGTGCTTCTGTATGGTTCAGAGACTTGGAGAGTTACGAAAGGAATTTCCAACAAATTACAGACATTCATCAACAACTGCTTACGCTGGCTCTTTACTTAAGCTCAGATGAGATGGTCAGAAAGAATAAGCAACAAGGAGCTTTGGGAACGAACCAACCAAGAAGTTATCGCTTAACAGATAAGCAGAAGGAAGTAGAGATGGATTGGGCATGAACTGAGAAGACCATTCGGGGACATCACTCGCCAGGCCCTCGAGTGGAACCCAGATGGGAAACGACAAGTTAGGCGTCCATGGGTGACAAGGCGGAGATGATGTCAGGAAGAAATGAGAGTAGCTGGGCTTTCGTGGAGCCAGGTTCAAAATTTTGCAGAGAAGAGAGTGGAATCGAGGCGCGCTGCTGAAGCCGTATGTTCCACTAGGAATTCAAGGGACAATTAATAATACCCCCCCCCAAACACACACACACACAATTCACTCACAGACCTGCAAGGATATTGACTACTGAGAATATATAGACTTTACGAAATTTTGTTTCGTTATTATCACCTTTACTGTTATCTCCTAATTCATATACCCGAATTAATTTAATTTAACCATGTCGATATCAAATGACTATGCTGAAAAACTTGTAAATGTAAAGCCTGATGAGAATTTACCCAGAATACATATTAGCTTCGAACTCTGTCTTTTAATTATCACAACGAGAATATTTACACGTTTGGAGCACAACTGATTGGTCATAATCATATTGAGACAATGTTATACAGCTTTATTACTTCGTATTTCTTAGATAATTCCATCGTTTTTTATCCTCTAATTTCACTGATAATGAGGTGGAGGAGAAAGCTGATCAGTTAATCTTTGTTTATCGATTCAATGCTTAATGTGAGCAACAGGGAATGACTTCACAGCGATCTTGGATATATGAAAATTTATACTACAAGAATCAAGTAAAGAAGTTGGGCGATCATCTTGATACAATTATAAGGAAAAAATGACACTGTATCACTTTGTGTTATATTATAGAAAATAATAATCTGTCATACTAGACAGCACACTGTATAAAATAAAGTATTATTCCCAATTCATAAGATAGCAAATACATACCAAGTGTTCTGACAAAGAATATTTGTAATCCAAGCGCAACTGAACCATCTTCTGATGATACACAACTGAAATAATCAGTGGAAACATGAAACAACCTTTCGTCAATTATGAAGATTATATATATATATATATATATATATATATATATATATATATATATATATATATATATATATATACAAAATACAGTTCGGCTGACTAGTGCAAGGAACGGTGTATTGATTTATGTCATCACACTTTAAAAGAAGCCTATAGTAATAAAGATAGCGAAATACTAAGTTGAGTGCTTGTATATCAGTGTAGTCGATTCGGAGTCATGTGTTACTTGATACCTCTAGACAAGGAGGGATGTCAATAGTTCATAAAAATCAGTTAGTAAATCAACAATTTTTGGCTGACTCCATACTAGTGATTAATGTTTTTTTAATGATCAGTACCATTTGATCGCAATATTTGGTAGTGGCTAGGAGTACAATGCAGAAAGTGAATTTCGTCCTATTTAAGACTCATCAGCTATCATTACTACACCAAACTGAAACTACAGGCATATATATATATATATATATATATATATATATATATATATATATATATATATATATATATATATATAGACATCCACGCAGAAGAGACCAGCGAAACTGGTCCAACCAACCAACGGGAAATTACAAGCAATAGCGTCAACACCAGTATCAGTGTTCATACTAATCATTATTAGGTCACTGAAGAACATAGAATGACTAAGCAATACATAATTCAACTACCCAAATTCGATTTATGTTTACCACCTCTTATGGAATAATCTGTTTCTATGTTCAATCTCTCATACCCAGTTAACTCCATAGTTCTAACTTATGCATAGATGAACTAAACTGATGTTAGTTAAACAGATGTGTACACTTGTTGTAATACAGAGACACATTCAGATGTTAACACCTGATAGATTCATACTTATTTTTACACTTAACAACAACAACAACGCCACACACACTGCTTTCAAATTTATGGAACATTATTATTATTATTATTCATTATTTGTCCCTTGGGTTCCTACTGGAACATACGGCTTCAGTAGTACGTCTCCATTCCATTCTCTTCTCTGAAATCTTTTGAACCTGGCTCCACGACAGTCCACAAGCTCTCATTTCTTCCTGACATCATCTCCGCCTTGTCACCCATGGACGCCTAACTTGTCGTTTCCCATCTGGGTTCCACTTGAGGGCCTGGCGCGTGATGTCAATGGAACATTACTAGTCACGAATGATATTTTTTTCGTGCATACCATAGAAAGAAAGTGACTTAAGCACTCGATTTTCAACCAGTGAGTCTCCCCAGTTTAAATCTCACTCTACTTACTTCAGTCTGGGGTATCAGGTCATTTCATGAGTCTTCAAACAATAAGTGTGGTTAACATCGTAGTGCATATAACATGTATCAGGTTCATTTGGATTATTTATGATATTCTATATACAGAATAGTTCAATATAACTGATTTTAGATGATAACAGATTTCATAAACGCATAGTGTAAAGATCGAAGTATGTGCGATAGCATTGAGTACGACCTTTTTGAAATCCACTCGCAATTTACACTTCTCTTTTAGTGTTGAAAGTACACAGTATTACACTATCCAATAGCAACTCCAAATATTGACAACCAAGTAGTTGAAAGAATTCACCTTCTTGGGTTGAATTAATTTGAATATTTCACTGATGAATTCGAAAGTGTACGGGTGAAACTTTTTAACCAACTAAATAGAAAAACTGGTTTTCTCCTTGAAGGTATTCACGGTTACTATGTGGATGTGGATAAAATGAATGCTATAAATGAACAGAAATTGTTAAGCTTACCAAGATACGTTTATTGCTACTGTATAATAATCAACCGCTTCATAAGTTTTAGAAAAAATATATAGTGGCAAGGCATAATTCACTAACCGCCTATAATTAATCACTGCAGTCAAACCATCAGGCTTTGAAAGTAGTGCAATCGTTGGAATGTGAAACAGGATAGTACGGTTCAAATGTATAAGATCCTAGGTTACACGACCATGAGGCATCAAATTGAAGCTCGGGAACAGCAGAGCTGAGAAAATCCGGTAGGTTTCACACCTGACCATAGGTAGACCGACCAGATATTCCCCCTCCACAAGGTCTTGGAACTCAGAAACACTAATCGACGCCCGACGCTAACTATATTATTTCCTGACCTTAAGGCGGCATTCGACTCTACTAATCGAGAGGTCTTCTAGGAACGCCGCTAAATGAAAAGGGTGCTGGACATAACCTTAGGTACGTCTGACTTCAGAAGTATTGAGTGATCTACTCCGCGAAAATTATCTGGTTGACTTGAAGTACGCAAACGACATTGTCCTCTTATGCTAGGTGAAGACGCTGAAAAAATGCACGATCTTTTGAACGCGTTGAGCAAAATTCTGATTATGCTTGGCATCCATTTCCCTGGTAACTTTGAAATGTAAGTTGAAGTTTCATGACTCGTCTGCAACCACCACTAGTTTATTGATAGGGAGTGAAGAGGTGCAATGTGTCACCCGAACGGGCTGGTTGCTGACGAAATCTCGGCTCGGATAAAGAACGCCCACTTGATATTTGCAAACGCATCACCTGTGGTGCCAACTGGCCAGATATTCCACTACTTATTAAAGGATGAGAATACGGTGCTGCAGTTCGTTCTATCCTATTATACAGTTGTGAGATATGGCTGATGAAAGTAGAACATATGAAAGGATTATAGGCTGTCGATCACAGATGTCTCCGCAGCGTTGTTCACGTTTGGTGGGATCATCGCGTGAGCAATGTTCAGGTCCGATGAACGGCATTAGGCAAGACAGATAAGTCGACTGATGAAGTGAATCTTATCCGACTGGGATGCCCTGGACATGTACAACGCATACTCAGCCACCACCTATCCCGATGTGCAATGGTAGGGAGAAGCTGGATTAGGTTGGAAGGTTCAATGTGAGCAGATAAAGACGTGGCAGCAGCATATGAAGTCTCTTACCGTTGGTGTGTCTTAATGATCATACTGAATTTAATTACTACTTCACCCTTTCTTCCTATCATTTTACTTGCTATCACTTTTGATTACCTTTTTCATCATTTCTGAATCTTTCACCATTGCGATTTTCCTCCCAATCTGGTGATATAAGGTCTGGCAACTCGGATCGTTGTGCAGTAATACAGCCAGATCATACGTTGATGCTAACTGACTGGTTAGAGAGTTCTATATCCTACAGTTTATCTGTCAAGAGTCTGGTAGTTTTTTGATCATGTAGTAAGTACTGCTAAAAAGTATCGGAATATGTTGAAGCAATAAATGACTATTCAAGAATAAAAGGTGACAAATATCGTTAGAACAAAAGCAAAACTATTCTCTTTCACTCACCTCAATGTGATTACATTACTTGGATTTTGTAAGATACCAGTACAAAGGATATGCAAAAATAGCATAGCTAAAAATAAACCATACAGTGAACATTCTGGTTTACAACGTCCAGGATAAACTTCTCCAGAACTATTGAACAAATCATGATGACCACTAATATTTGCATATGCTATCGATGATGATGAATTAAGTGGACCAGATGGATTGAGAGCATATGGTGTTACACATTGGCAATCAGAATATTTCTAAGGAGAAAAGAAAACCAACAAAAGCAAAAAATAAGAGAAAATGAAAAAGTAACAGAAAGCTGAAAATTATGTATTGAAACAAAATATAAATTCTTACTTATTGCACACATTTGCGCTTGTATTGAATACAGACGCTACGTCTTAGTGAAAGTATCTAAGTTGCACTATACACTTAAATTCTGAAGTCGATATATATATATATATATATATATATATATATATATATATATGGGGGGGGGGGGGAGAGCTTGAATATATTTTGTTGCGTACATGTTGAACGACTATGAAGAAACAGACTGGTGAGGGTATGAGAATCAACAATTGGTTTGTATTCAACAGAGGTCAAAAGTACACTAGCATGAATTACTTCTTGAATTACATTGCTATTTACTTGTGCCTTAATCCTAGTGATAACATCATGGTTACGGTTAAACAATCAGTTTCAAGGTCTGACCTTCACAATCATTTTCTCCATGACCTTCTTCATTATACTAGGTCATATACATATTGTTATTTTAAATTTACACGGATAATTATTTGAAACAACTAGTCCACTTTGTAAATTTCCACAATCTGAAATATGCTAATGTACTAGTACAATACATTTTCAATATTTCATACATGAATTCCCTTTATAAATTTGGAAAGATCAAAAAAAAAAATGGAAGCAGGATGAAAAGGATCCATTTTATTTTGGTGATATGTTATCAGCTGGCTTAAACAACCTAGAGGTTAGAGATATTCGGCTACATTTTTTACTCAATCTGAGAATTTTATAAATGTATCTTGTCAATTTATGATATGAAATGCATGATTTGTAAAATTTCAATATTTCATAGTTCTGAGATACATATTATAACTGAAAAATTGTCAATTAACTTGTAATATGTCAAGAAAATAGTAAAAGTTAAGTAATGATCCAAGTTCTTTTTGAATAACTTCAGTAACAGCTTGAGAATCTTTAGGATACATATTTTTTTTATCGCCTGAATTTAAATTGCTGAAGCATTTTGATGTGTGCCACATTTACTGGCCATGAAGTAGAACAGATCGGACTACAACACAGTACACTCGACTTTTAATAGACAATTGGATATCGCTGCGGTTGCATAGAAGGGATAAATTGGTCAGAGCCAATAGAGCTTTTTTGTATCGGTGCATAGATGTCATCAGCCAATGAGCCACCAGGGTTAATACGATGAAATAACTTTATTGCACGATTCCGTATTTCCTGTGGTCAATAAGATTGTGTTATTCTATCTTTGGTGTGGGACATTTTTATATGTGCGAATTGCACATATATGATACAGTTTATCAAATGAAATGGTCTTTGTAGTAACAGGTCAGCATTTGTGATTTGATATTAGCATGATTGGGTGAAAGATGAGATATGCTGAGGTGATAGGGGGTGGGGGGTTCTGGAGAATAGTAATATTAGCACTGAGTTCTAGTGTATCACTTTGTTCAGTATGGTTATTACCCACGTATCATTCGACTGGACCACTATATCCACCATCGTGTTCAGAAGACTCTGTGTAAACAAAATAGTAAAAGTTACGTAATGATGCAAGTTCTTTTTGGACAGTTTCAGTAACAGCTTGACAATCGACAATAAGTTAATTTGTCAAGTGTATTGACCGTTTCTCTGACCTGGAAAGTTACATAGACCCTAAGGGGTTGATTAACAACAGAAGTTCAGTACGCAATCTAAAAGATTCTAGAACTTTTGAGAATATAATACAAGATGAATTATAGCAAGTGTCTGAACCTTTGCCATAGTTTTTAGAATTTGATTTTAAAATGAAATTTTTTCATACATACTTGTTTACTATTGTCTGAGTCTGGATATTTTACTGCCATATATGATGATTTCATTAGCAATAGTGTGATAAATTAACTTCTATGTGAAATTAATGCTAACACAATCACCATCATCATCATTATCAACATAGGACCAGGCATTACTGCGTAACGGTCCAACTTGCCACACCTCACATCAGTTCATCAAGTAGAAAGGCAGTGAGGTGAACGATGAAGATAAGTGAATGCAGTCAAAAGAAATATAAAGTACGAGAAGAAGAAAAAGGGGAATGACAAAATGGTGAGATTCGGTATAGTGTAGTTAAGATGAGGATAATATGTGTATACATCTGCTCCACTGACATCGGTTCTCAGCCATATCACCTAGAGTCTCCAACCACTGGTTCCTCTTGTCCCGTGGACCCCAACCACCTAGTCTGCATCGTCCTACATGGCTTAAACCAACAGTCAGAGACTTCATACATTGGTGCGATGTTTCAGTCTGGCCATCTCGGACCTTTTTTTAGCCTGTAACACAATCACCAAGTTGAATAATGGCATATCAAAGATTAAACGTCAAGCTCAAAGAAAACTGAACAATTCATAATCTTTATTCCATGTTGTAAATGATGTTCACTATACTAATATTCTTAGTCTATATATATATATTTGCAGAAGGTGTGGAAGGAAGAGAAGGTACCTGACGATTGGAAGAAGGGTTACCTTGTCAAACTGCCGAAGAAGGGAGACCTCAGTGCTTGCAAGAACTGGCGCGGAATCACTCTCCTGTCCACCCCAAGTAAAATATTAAGCCGCATCATCCTAGAGAGGCTTAAAGACGCACTGGATTCAAACTGCGACCGGAACAGGCAGGCTTCAGGAAGTACAAATCATGTGCAGACCAAATTGCAACGCTTCGTATCATCATAGAACAGAGCATAGAATGGCAATCACCTCTCCACCTCAACTTCATCGACTTTGAGAAGGCCTTTGACAGCGTCGACCGAGAAGTAATTTGGAAACTGCTTCAATACTACGGAGTACCGCAAACCTTTATCCGCCTCATTCAACAACTATATGAAGATGCTACATGCCAAGTAATCCACAATGGGAAGCTCAGTGATGCCTTTGAAGTGAAGACAGGAGTGAAACAAGGTTGCCTACTATCCCCCATGATATTCTTGATTGTGGTGGACTGGATCATGCAGCAAACAGTAGGCAGCGAGAAGAGGGGGATACACTGGATGACGGAAAAGAACCTAGAAGACTTGGATTTCGCCGATGACTTATGCCTAATGTCACATAAACTTGAAGATCTGCAGGCAAAAACTAACAAGTTGATAGAAGAGGCAGCGAAGACGGGACTTCAGGTGAATATAGAGAAGACAGAAGTGATGAAGATACCGCACCACCACCATCAACAACAACAACAACAAACTCCAATCACCGTCAACGGGAGAAACTTAAAGGAAGTAACCTCCTTCACTTATCTAGGAAGCATTGTTTCAACTACAGGCGGGACGGACGAGGACGTCAAAGTCAGAATCGGAAAAGCAAGACAGGCGTTCATTAGCCTGAAACCAGTGTGGAGATCTTCTGCACTCAGCATGCGGAACAAGATACGGATTTTCAACACCAACGTCAAGTCAGTGCTCTTGTATGGCTCAGAGACTTGGCGCGTCACGAAAGGTATTTCCAATAAACTACAGACATTCATCAACAACTGCTTACGCTCGCTGCTGAAGATCAGATGGCCAGAAAGAATAAGCAACAAGGAACTCGCTCTGGGAACGAACCAACCAAGAACCTATCACGCAACAAATATGCAGGAAGAAGTGGAGATGGATTGGCCATGCACTGAGAAGGCCGACTGAGGACATCACGCGTCAGGCCCTCGAGTGGAATCCCGATGGGAAGCGACGAGTTGGAGGTCCGAGGGTGACATGGAGGAGGTCGTGCGAGCAGGAAATGAGAGGTTGTGGGCTGTCGTGGGACCAGGTTCAAAAGATCTCAGAGAACAGAGGTCACTGGAGGCGTGCTACTGAAGCCCTATGTTCCACTAGGAACCCAAGGGACTAATAATAATATAATAATATATATATATATATATATATATATATGAGGAGACAGAATACACCAATTAATGAAATAGGTGTCAAGTCAAACTTGACTTATTAAACACTGAATAAAGGTCGAACTATTTCATTACTTAACAAATTAGTAGAGACATTTACTACTGAAAACTGACCTGGGAAAACACACTACTCTCGGTAAGTATATGTATTCAGTCGTGCAAAAATAATTGTGGCATAGAAAAATCCTGTAACTTTGATAAGATAATCTAGGCGAGGTCATAGGTGTACCCCCTATTAAGAAATTTTATACCAGGATGTAACAGGTATCCAACACTCCTAAGTTTTCAGTGATTCTACAACTGATAGCCAACTGTGATCACTACTATGGCTAAAATTAAGCAATACCTATAAACCCCGTAAAGTGAATTGATTATTTCTTTCACTACTTTGAGGCTATTCCTTTCATTAAAAAAGGATCTACTCTTAACAATTGATAATTCACAAAATGTATGAATAGATTGTTTATCTCAGATCAAAAAAGATCCTAAAACCTGTAGGCTTAAAAAAATATTTTCAAAACCGTTAACCTCTAAAAAGAAAGCAAACATTGTCTACAGTCATTTATAATTTATATCAATTAGTGTTAGTAAATAAATGCACGAAAAATTAAGACTCTACCTTAACAACTCCTCCGTCTTGAACACGTGTCCTGCAGCCAGCAAAACAAGGATTGAAAAATGTTAACGAATTCGAATTACAATCAGTTAAGCTATCATCATTATCGTCATCAATATGATTACATTTAATATTATTATTTTCTGTCTTCTTAACGGCAGTCCAACATACAGGATTATAGTGTCGTATTGAACAATCAGACTCAGGAAATTGTGTATACTGAATATTGATTCGATTGTCAAAAGAGTAGCAAAATCGATTGCATGGTGCTGTCATATTTGGTGGAATTAGAAACCTGGACCACTTCGCCAAGGCCAACTAGGATGAAACACAGAAAACAATCACAAATAAATAAACTTTGGATACCACTTTTGTAGATATCTAAAAAAGTATGGTATGCACCAGTGAGTAACAGAAATACTTGGAACACATCCAGACTATCTATCAAAAAACGAGTATGTTGTGCTGCAATCCGTTGTGAGATATGATCACTGAAAGTAGAAGACATGAAGTCATTACAGGTTTTCGATCATAAGTATCTCGGTAGCATTGCTCGCGTTTGGTGGAATCATCCTATGAGTAATGTTGAGGTCAGGTAATAAATCGATAAGGTTGCGAACCTTAGTTAACTGAGATGGCTTGAGTATATGTCACCGCCTACTTCAACGTACCATGTTACGGAAAGCTGGATTACGTTGAAAGAGAGTTTAGGGTGGCTAGCCCAAGACCTGGCATCAATACATGAAGTCTGTGACTGTTGGTCTGAGCTGTGTGAACAGAAGACTACCTGGCTGGGGTCCCCGAGATGACAGGATTCTTGGTGACATGGCTGAAAGTCAGTCACAATATGCTACTATGAATTGTGGCAAAGTATGTGTGGAGTTCTACGTTAATTTTTTCTGTCTATCTGTATTCTTTGCTAGTGAGACTGTGGTTATTATTATTTTACCTATAGTGTAGACTGGTAACATTCCTATTAATCATGAACGTTTAAAGCCGAAAATCGGGTTGATCTAGTTTAATCCAAGTTTATCGACAAACAAATGGAGATGAGGTGGGTATTTCTTCAGAAAAAAAATCTTTATTTATCACTTTTTGTTACTCAGTAAAAAAAAAACTGATACTTCTTACAGTTTTAAATGAATAGTTTCTAATGAAAACCAGTCATGCATGACCAATGTCAATATGACCTCTAAAATATCTTATCAGCTTTATTAAGAAATTGTTGAAACAAAATCTGATCAACAGTTCAAATGAATTCATAGGATATACGTACACATAATATATCATTTTGACTTTGATAGTTTATCATTCTCTTTCTTGCTTTTATGATTACATACAGTATACACGACTACAAATGAAGCATATGAATATGAAAAAGTAAGGATATAGGATATAAATTCAATTTTGACACTTTCACCCTTTTTCCAGCCAAAAAGAGTGCAAGATTTAATTAAAGCGAATAACTTTATCTAATCCCTTTAATTTATAAACTTCAACAGGGCAAAATCAATAAATGAGGCAGGGTGATATATGAGCGCATTTTGATGAGAAGTTAATGACAGAATTAACCAGTAACATCGATAGTGAGTAATGTAAATAGTTGCTGTAGACGAGAATTCTATCAATGTGGTAGTAAGAATGAAATAAGTATGAGTTAATGGATAACGCTTTGGTGTTTGAAGTGATGGGTACTGCGTTCGAGTCTCTGGAGTGTAATTACATCCAGATGATAAGTCCTGAATAAGATTGAACGCCCGCCATCGATTCTACTGGAAGATTCAAAGGTGGATTGAAGTTACGCAATCTATAATCAATATTTTGTACTCACCTCTAAATCTTCTTCTTCAACAATACTTACCTAAGAATTCGATAAAAAATAGTCATTCTTCCTGTCACACTCTTAAAAACCTCTACACTAACTATTTACAGTATCTATTATCTATATTACCGGTTAATCCTATCAGTAACTTCTTGTCGATTTGATAAAAGAATGTTCAATTATTGGAGAATATACATTTTGAGATCATTTAGTTAGTAGATAGTTTAAAAGAAGTCGAGGAATAATAAAAATCAGCCTGTATGACCCTGACGCATTTGTTGATTTTCCTCTGTTGAAATTTATAAAGTGAATGACTCTTTCTATATAATTCACTGCTGAGGTTATTTTAATTCGGAAAGTGTATACTATCGCTGTCGATATGACCTTGAGAAGGTCAAACATTAGAAGAAATTGTGATATGTTTAGACAAAAACAGAATGAAAAACAGCAATGGTACTTAGTATACAAAATCATTTTTGCAATATTGATTACATCATGTGAAAATAATATTTCATTTATGATTTCAAATAAACTTTATTCGCTTAATGAAGATACGCTGGACTGCGGAAAAGAACCTAGAAGATTTGGATTTCGCCAGTGATGACTTCTGCCTGATGTCACATAAACTTGAAGATCTACAGGCAAAAACTAACAAGTTGATAGAAGAGGCAGCGAAGACGGCACTTCCTTCAAGTGAATATAGAGAAGACAGAAGTGATGAAGATACCGCACCAACAACTCCAACAACAACAACAAACTCCAATCACCATCACTAGGAGAAACTTAAAGGAAGTAACCTCCTTCACCTATATCTAGAGAGCACTGTTTCAACTACAGGCGGCACAGGCAAAGATGAGGACGTCAAAGTCAGCCAGGATCGGAAATGCAAGACAAACCTTCATTAGCCTGAAACCAGTGTGGAGATCTACTCCACTGCACGCAGCATGTGGAACAACATCCGGATTTTCAACACCAATGCCAGTCAAGTCAGTGCTTCTGTATGGTTCAGAGACTTGGCGCGTTACGAAAGGGATTTCCAATAAACTACAGACATTCATCAACAACTGCTTACGCTCAATACTGAAGATCAGATGGATTGCCAGAAAGAATAAGCAACAAGGAACTCGCTCTGGGAACGAACCAACCAAGAACCTATCACCCAACAAATATGCACTGGAAGGAAGTGGAGATAGATGGGACATACAATGAGAAGGCCGATTGAGGACATCACGCGTCAGGCCAGTTGCTCGAGTGGAACCTAGATGGGAAATGACGAGTTGGACGTCCGAGGGTGACATGGAGATCGTGCGAGAAGGAAATGAGGGCTTCTGAGCTGTCGTGGAGCCAGGTTCAGTAGATTTCAGAGGACAGAGCGCATATAATAATTATTCGCCTAATGAACAAATAAATAAATCCAAAAAAAAAACAGGAAGAACTGGATAAATTAATTCAGTCTAATTTCCAACTATTCTATACCGCGAGCATTCTACCTATTTTAGAATGTAATAAAAACAAACACATGGAACAGTGTATCAAGAATACAGTGATCTAACTTGCGCATTTCATTATTATGATATATTTATTTATCCCATGGGTTCCTAGTGGAACATACGGCTTCAGTAGCACGTCTCCATTTCACTTTGTTCTCTGCAGTCTTCTTAACCTGGCTTCCCCACTACCCTCAGGTTTTCATTTCTTCCTCACACAACCTTCTCCATGCCACCCTCGGACGTCTAACTCGTCGTTTTCCATTTCGGTTCCACTCGTGGGCTTGGGGCGTGGTGTCCGCAAACTGTCTACTCAATGCATGTCCATTCCAATCCATCTCCACTTTATTCTGCATATTTGTTGGGTGATATGTTCTCGCTCCGTTCCTTCGCTGCTACGCCAGACTTCCGTGTTGCTCATTCTTTCTGGCCATCTCATCTGATCTTCAGTATCCAGTGAGCGTAGACAGCAGCTGTTGATGAATGTCTGCAGTCTGTTGGAAGTGCGTTCCGTAACGCGCCAAGTCTCTCAACCATCACATAGAAGCAATCACTTCACTCGATTGGTGTTATAAATACGGATATTGTTCACGCTTTGTGCTGAGTGCAGTAGATCTCCACACTGATTTCAGATTAATGAACGCCCGTCCTGCTTTCCCGATCCCAATTTTCACATCATCATCTGTGCCGCCGCCTGTAGTTAAAATTATGCTCCCTTGATAGGTGTTGGTGAAAGAGACAACTTCCTTTAAGTTCCTACCGTTAATGGTGATCGGAACTTGTTGTCGTTGATTGGGTATTTTCATAACCTCTGTCTTCTCCACGTTCACTTGAAGTCCCGTCTTCGCTGCCTCGCCTCTTCTGTCAACTTGTCACTTTTCGCCTGTAGAGCTTCGAGTTTGTGCGACACTAGACATGAATCATTACGGGCGAAATCCAAATCTTATAGGATCTTTTCATCGGCTAAACAGCCTATGCTCATCTTCTCGCTCCTCACATTTTGCTGTATGATCCAATTGACCACAATCAGGAATATTATCGGTGATAGTGGACAACCTTGTCTTACTCCTGTCTTCACCTCACTTCGAAGGCGTCACTGAGCTTTCCATTGCGAATCACTCGGCATGTAGCATCATAAAGCACATAGCTGTTGAATGAGGTTGGTAAAGGTTTGTGGTATTCCGTAATGTTGGAGCAGTTGCCAAATTACTTGTCGATCGACACTGTCGAAGGTCTTTTCAAAGTGGATGAAGTTGAAGTAGAGAGTTGACTGTCATTCTGTACTCTGTTGTATGTTGATGTGTAGAGTAGCGTTGCAACTTGGTCGGCACATGATTTGTACTTTCTGAATCCAGCCAACTTGTTCTGGTCGTAGTTTTGAATCCAGTGCATCCTTTAATCTCTCCAGGATGATGCGGTTAAGAATATTTCGCTTGAGGTGGGCAGGAGTATGATTACGCGCCAGTTCTCGCAAAGACTTCGGTCACCCTTCTTTATGAGTTTGACAAGGTAACCTTTCTTCCACTCGGCAAGTACCCTTCCTTTCTTCCAAACCTTCTGCAGTAGTGGTGCATATTTCATGGTGGTAAAAAAACATCAACTGAACTCGGTAAGTTTCAGAATAGACGAATATGTAAATAAACAAGAGATAAGTGATATGTTCCACAATGAGACGATAATGAAGAATAAGCATAGTTCCAATCTACTTAGATTTATGTTACTGAAAACCTCCAGCTAATGAGGTCGAACCTCTTGAGGACTGAATACAAATAGCTTGCAGGGCCTAAAATGAAGCATAACAATACTCAATGACTGTTCCAATGTCTTGCTTTGGTCGACAACCTTTCTACTAACATAACACTACTGCATCAAACATCATGCTCTGAAGAAGACGACGGTGTGTCTGTGCATTAACAACACTACAAATCAATCGCCTCGATATGATTTTGTAACTTCACTTTCTGCTAAGTAAATTTTATATAAAATTTCACAAAATTCATTATGAGAATTTAGAAATTTTTAAGATCAGATTTTTGTACTAAATACTTATCGCTTTTGAAGTGTGACGTCATCATTGTGGCGAAAAATGTTTGCCTAATAAACAGTAAAGTTCTTCACTTCTCGAAAATGATTTTTTAAAAGGTGTATTCCTATTAATCTCTATGGTAAAAATTATTGCGATTTTAAGGTAGTTCTCATTACTGATTGACATCTGCCAGAGAACCGTTAAAAACCTAAGAACATTAGACAACTGTTTCATACAATTGTCCTCAGAAATGCATAATCACAACCTCACGAGGGATTGACTTTAGAACCGTTCGGTTGCATGCCGGATGCGTTTCCATTTAGTCACTAGGTTGCGACGCAATGGTCCACTTTCGCTACCTGTCATTTTGTGTTATAATGGAGAATATTTGTAGCTCAAGGGGATGGTCTTGGTTGTATTGTGTTCTCTGAGCTGGGTTGTTTAATCGTGAAGCTTTCATAGTCTTTCTAGACGACATCAGCAGCACTAACTTCAGCATGAGGTGAGCTGTCAATATCTCTCCGTGAGTGATGTAGTGGCTTGCTCTGACGATGTGGTCAGTGATTGGTTGTTCCCTTCGATTGTTGTGTCAATAATTGACTGTATAGAGTTTCCTGTTGGCTGCTTCTCTAATTCACCTCTCACCTTTCTGTCCCTTATCATTTTCCTCATTGGTTAGTGGATTGGGTCTATGTCTATACATCTGTTGATTGCTGGTTGACTGACTGACTGACTGATGTGAATTCCAAGCTTCTAAGAATTCTCTGATATTCTTTGTGTTTCCTCTCTCCATCCAAAATTTATACATTGTCAAAATTGAATTCATGTCCAATATTATCCACATGCGAGATATATCCACGGCAAGATATACAAACAGATGAAAGGAACTCCAATAGGATCACCGATATCCGGATTTATTGCAGAAGCAGTGATGCAGAGACTGGACGCCATCATTCTACCTGTGATGAAACCAAAAATTTGGATTCGCTATGCGGCGACAACTTTTGTCATCATTAAAAATGACGATATAGAAAACATCCACAGTTTGGTCAATAACGTCTTCAATGACATCATATTCACAATGGAGAAAGAGTCAAACAACCAAATACCATTCCTGGATTTTTTAGTCAGCAGGACAAATGGCGGAAAGCTGGGAACCCAAGTGTACAGGAAGCCAACAAACACCGACTGGTCAAATCCTCAACTACAATAGCAACAACCCAACAACACACAAAATCAGTTGTGTGCAGACTCTATTCAGAAGGGCGAGAACACTGCACTGCAGTACAACAACTTCACGGAGAACTAAAGAAAATTACCTGATGTCCGTTCATCTGAAAGAAGAACGGCTACCCAAAAAACTTTATCACAAGATGCCTATCCCGTACATCATCAGGCACAAAGTCATCGACACAAATCAACAAACGCATCGTCCTACCATACATAAAGAATATATCAGAAATCACAACAAGATTACTGAGACCACTTGGGATTGTTATGGTCACTCATAAACCGACAAATTCCCTCCAAACGCTACTATGCAGACCGAAGGATGCAACAAGCAAAGAAGAGAAACCGAATATCATTTACAAAATCAACTGCAATTACTGTAGTCAGCACTACATTGGACAAAGTGACCACCCTCTTCGCTTTCGTCTACATGAGCACCAATTAGCTGTTAAACGTCACGACATTTCGTCACTCATTTCAATGCACGTGGATAATTATGGACATGAATTCAATTTTGACAATGTATAAATTTTGGATGGAGAGAGGAAACACAAAGAATATCAGAGAATTCTTAGAAGCTTGGAATTCACATCAGTCAGTCAGTCAGTCAACCAGCAATCAACAGATGTATAGACATAGACCCAATCCACTAACCAATGAGGAAAATGATAAGGGACAGAAAGGTGAGAGGTGAATTAGAGAAGCAGCCAACAGGAAACTCTATACAGTCAATTATTGACACAACAATCGAAGGGAACAACCAATCACTGACCACATCGTCAGAGCAAGCCACTACATCACTCACGGAGAGATATTGACAGCTCACCTCATGCTGAAGTTAGTGCTGCTGATGTCGTCTAGAAAGACTATGAAAGCTTCACGATTAAACAACCCAGCTCAGAGAACACAATACAACCAAGACCATTCTGTGGTATAGCCCCTATCATCATCTGATGTTATTTATCGGCATCCACCGACCTTTCAACTCGGTTGACATATCAGGATTTTACATTAGAACTTCGCAATATCATCAATTAAACAATTACTTAGTGAATACGATGCCAGATTTGATGTATTCTAGTATTCAGGCGATCACATATGTTGTATGTATAGCTAGAAAGGATGATATCCATAAACAATCAATTATGAATGTCTTTTATGTGTCTGTCTTTGACTACATTCGTATTAAGGAGCCTACAAGTGACTTCAAATGCTGTCTTGCTTAGACCTTGGGTTATTAAAAAAATTTTCCACCGAATTTAATTTCATCAAATTCCTCCTTTTCGGTTTGTTTCAATCTTTTAAATGTCTTCTAAATGTAGTATGTGCTCTTACATCTGTTCAGAATGTTTTTAAACTGTCGTTTCTTAAGCTAAGAACGAAAAAAAAAGAAAACATGTCATGTCGGATGGGAATGGATTTATAAATGCCCAAAAATACAACATAGTATTATTCCTAGGATATACCTCTATATGGAATTGCATTTTCTTTTGTACTGACCGATTGAACTATGACCATCAAAACTACACTCGACTGTATGTTCATTCCTGAGACCAGGTCAGATGCTAATGCAACACCATCGGGTAGAAGAGTTAAGCCAATTCAATTAATCTAATGATGATTACATCTCTCTGATTATAACACTAAGTGAATTGCTATCGAACTTCTAAGTTAGCAACGGTTTCCCGAATATTGTAGACACACTTTAACGATGACTATCAACAATCATGACGATTAATTGATGCAAAACGTCGTAATCAATAATTTCCACTAGTTAACATAAAAACATCTGATCTAGGTAGAGCTTAATGGTTAACATTGTGAATTCAATCAACAGAGTCTGATCAGTATTTATAAAGTAAAGATGAACTTTATTTTCAAGTATATAAAACATTATATTTAACAAGAACTTAAAAAGAAACTAGGTAATGTAATTAAAAAAAATACATTACTTGATTAAGGTAAAATAGAAAAAACTCAACAACTGTAATATTCGAACAATATAGTCCTTGAGTGACTTTAAAGGCCACCCTAGCAACAGCTGAAACAACCAATTAAGCTGCCCTATTTTATGAAAATCTGACTTTCCAGATGAAATGCAGAAACCTAATTGGTTGTTTCGATGGTTGCTAGGATGGCCTTTAAAATCGCCCTAATTTTTCGACAAGTCACAAAAAACGTGCGTATGGGTATGAAATAACTAATTAACTAAAGTAAATAACGATGAAGATAATTCTCATAATAAAATATTCGAAAAAAACAACCGAAATCCACTCAGATATCTTATGCACATCCATGCAGTAGGCAATGAGCCATATCAATTGTGTGAGGGCTAATGATACTTACTTGGTTGCATAAACCTCGGTATGCGGAGCAGGACTCCAACTTGTAACCCAATAAAACAAAAAAATACAAGTGGAGAACAAGAGACACTACACAATTGTTCTTTCTTAATTTGCTATGAAACAATAGCATACGTATCATACTTATTTGCACTTAAAAGCATAGAAAACAGATCGGATTGTGGAATCACCATATAACTAATGTCGAGGTCAGGTGAAGGGTATCAGGCAGGATAGACAAGTCGATTCGTGAGGCTATGAACATTAGTCAACTGAGATGACTTTGACATGTACTGCGCATCCCCAACCACCACCTACCTCAACGTACCATACTAGAGGAAGCTGAGTTAGGTTAGAGGGGGGATTTAGAATGGCAAGACAAAGAGTTGGTACCAGTCTATGAAGCCCCTGACTGTTGGTCTGAACCGCGTGAAAGAGATGCAGACTGCTTGGCTGGAGTCCCCGAGATGATAGGATTCAATGGTTGGAAACCCATCACAATGACACAGATGTATTCATTCGTTGACGTCTTCTCAAGTAAGAAAATTTAAAATAACCGTTATCTTCAGATCATTTATTCACTCATACAACTTTTCCTATTTTGATATGATATGAAAAACGAAATGCACTCAACCGCATTGTGGACTTCCGTGCAGAAGGCAATGGGCCACACCTATTGCGTGAGGGATACCTAGCTGACCAAATCTCGGTAGGTGGATTGGTGTTAGAACCTGTGACCCACTAGTTGAAGGTCATCTCCTTGAACCATTGACCCACTGCTCCAATACCTGTCCTTTGTATACCACTATGAATTGTGGCAGCTTGAACCGATGCACCTGTATAGGAGGTTTTAGGTTGATTTTGTCTGTTATACAGTAAAAATCTATCTGATCTTTATCTTCTTTTAGATAATAGCATTGTCTACTTCCAGTTTCCTTTCTTATGAGATTACCCTGTGGGCTGCTTTTCACCAGTTTCTAGTGGTGTTTTCCTATTTACAACCATTGTTTACATTCTCCTCAGCAAGTTAACCTTGAAGTACTATATTAGCATTTTTAAAAATATACCGTATGGAATGGAGTTCTTTAGCACTTTTTTCCGTCAAGTTTCTTGTTATTATTCACTAATGTGAAGAAAAAAGAAGAGATGAGTATGCACTAAGACAGAGACAGAAACACGAGTTGGAAAAAAAGAAACCAACTTCACAGCTTACCGTTTTCCATCGTATGTAGCCGTGATACCTGCCATTCGACTTGAATGACAACCAATAGACATTAGACTAATACTTGTTACAACAGTGATAGCAATCATGATGCATAGACCGAACAGCGTACGATGTAATGTTGGACGAAAATGACGCATTAGTAGGGCACCGGATAAAACGCCTAATAAGGAACTGGGAACTATCACAGCACCTAGGAAATGAAAAATATGTTAAAAATATTGGTGGGAGATTTGAATAATACTGAAAATGCATTTTTTGAACAAAATAAAAACATACTGGATTAGTGTTTTGTCCGTTTTGAAGACTCCTCAGTGTAGTGATAACTAACACAACCTTCATATCGAATTGATAACCTAATTTTGTAATTTTCGCAACACTAACAAAGCGATGGGTTCAAAATAAAGGAATGGTAACTGTCCTTTCACTTCAGTAAGACTGTAAGGAGGTTAATTATGCTAACCACTTCACTAAAGAGTTGAAGCGTTTGTGTAGACTATAATTTTCAAAACTAACCGGTACACAAGTCCCTCAAGCTAAAAGGATCTCTCCAAGTGAAGTAGGTTGGTAATGGAAACTATCTTCAAAGTAATAACAATACCCTAACTGAATAAAATACCGGGAACAGGCTGCTTTTAGGAAGAACAAGTCATGTGTAGACCGAATTGCAACGCTACGCATCATCATAGAACAGAGCATAGAATGACAATCAACTCAACTTCGTCAATTTTGAAAAGGCTTTCGATAACGTCGACCAAGAAGTAATTTTGCAACCGCTTCAATACTGCGGAGTGCCACTAATCTTTACCAACCTCATTCAACAACTATATGAAGAGACCACATAGGAAGTGATTCACATTGGAAAGCCTAGTGATGCTTTTGAAGTGAGGTGAAGACAGGAGTAAGACAAGGCTGCCTACTATCACCCCCCATCTTCCTGATTGTGGTCGACTGGATCATGCAGCAAACCGTGACGAGCGAGATGATGGACATACGCTGTTTGACCGACGAAAACAGCCTAGAAGACTTGGATTTCGCCCATGATTAATGTCACACAAACTCGATGATCTACAGGCGAAAATCAACAAGTTGATGCATGATGTATCTCACAGTCCTGCATACAAGAATCTAGTGAAGTGCTTCAAAAAAACTTCTCGATCCATCAGACTGGAAAGTATGTTTACCGTACGCAAATCCGTAGACCCTGTGGTATCAGAATTTGATCCTACTGGTGTCGCATTCAGTAATATTTTCATTTGCCTAGAACTGCAATAAAAGCCATCTATCTACAGATATATTACAATGTTCGGTTTAAGTAAGCCATATATGACAAGGAGAACAATATTTCTTCATCATCTCTGCCTACACTTTGATACGTAAACCCAGACAAAGCTAAGGAGATAAGTTCCGTGAACGACTGTTACCTTGAGAAAGTGCACTCGACAGACATCACCGAGACAACTAGGAATTTGAATACACCTTCCGAACATCTAGGCTAAGAGAAGCTTGTTCACCTGGTCAATATGGATCGACTGGGTGAAGATCAGAAAAGTCTAACTAGCAATTGCACTTGTATGCGGAACAAAACTTATTTCTAACCTGCATCTGCTTCCGATACAGACATTGGACGCAATGCTATCTGGCGTCCTCAAAAGCTTGGACTTAAAAAAATCATATTGACAACTTAGTGTATTTAGGACTACTGTTTCTCATGGAGCACTTTTTCAGACTTAGTATATGCTAAGCTTCTCATGCACCATCATGCTCATCAAAATCGTTAACGCAGGATGATGTAAGCGAACTAGTTGACGCCAATAATGAAACGAAATACTAAACCTAGTTAAATTTCACTCTGGTTGTTAAACCTTAAAGAAGTGTAGATGAGTGTTGGTTACACCTACAAGAAACTATAAAAAGGGGTAGCAGAACTGCTTGTAACTTCCGTTTCACTGAAATGCACTATATACTGTAATTGTTTGTTCCGAAGATGTTCATGAACTTCATAAGATCTCTAAACAAAAACACCTCGGGGTAGAGTGAAGGTATATAACCACTTGTCGTTGTTGTTCCTAACAAGCAGTAGAATAATCAAGGATTACCTGATTATTCAGTTAAATTTAAATTAAGTGAAGATCTAGTTAAGCATCCTACTATGATAATGACCAAGGGACCACACATTTGCATGACAACCAAGAGGAATATTCTTAGTGACTGGAAAGGAATTGATGGGAAAGAAACTCATAAAAGAAAGAATAGTTTAAAAGACAAGATTCTATGCAAAAAGGGAATACATATAGAGACGCACAAATCTTACGGAGTTCGGTGCATTATGATGACACATTTACCAACAATATTCAATAATACGTAGATGTACAACCTATCCGCTTATTTCATCGTAAACTTATAAAAGCATTCAAAACTTTAATACCGATTTGAAATTTTATTCCAGTTAGGTAAATTCACTTAACAGTTAATTCATATTGCATAGTAATGATAAGTAAAGTTGGAGGTAAGGCTGGGTTGCAGAGAATAACAGACGACTGAGAAAAAACATGTAACTTCTCACCAAGCCTCAATTAGGATTCATTGACTGAGAAATTGCTTGTGGGGTTGGAACTCACTAACTTACGTAGCCAATCAACTTCCAAAAACCACTGAGTGAAGAGTAAGAACTGAGTCATAACTAGTGCATTTTAGGGGCTTCTGTAGAGCCACCAACGGTCAAACCGATAGATGTAGCACATGTTCCAGTGTGTACATTTTCACTTGATTGCAGATTTCACTGAGACAGCCCATTCTTTGACACTAGTATTCCAGTGACTGAAGTAAAATTAGCATCTAGTTAACAGTTGGATCTCGTAATTCATAAAAATATCACAACATAATAACTGTAGATTGTTGAACAAGCAATAACGGGTTTCCATCCGAATTATATCATCATTTTCAGTGTACTTAAAGATCAACCTGTTGACCGGAAATTTCTCAGGTAATCTAATTACACTGCCGGTATTTCGTCATGAAAGCTTAATATGGTACACTAGATTTAAAATATTACAATGAATGAAGAGATTACTTAAAATTACGTTAAAAATTAGTCATTTCACAGACAGTTTGGATGGAATAATGATCATTAACGTAAGTCACGCTATATAAAGCTTAGATGGTAAGGTGCTAGATACCAACAGTAGTCTAATTATTCTATGTACGTATAAAAATCACGAGAGCAGTGTATTAGGAGTTAGATGTGCATAGAAGCAGGAAACAAGAGGCCGAAAAACGAGAAAATGTAAACGCACACACACACACACACAAAGTGCATATTAGTTAAGGTAAGTAGACATTAAATACTTACTTACTTACAGAAGTTATCAAATCACTTTAGAGCATATACTGAAATATAAGATGGATAGTAGTAGTCACCAGTCACCGATAACGTGTCAACGGAAATCAATTCACAAATTCTTTAAGATATATCCTAATTGATTTCTGTTAACTGTTCACGAAATCCTTAATTATGTCTATGTATAGCTATGACTTAATAATTTATGATACTCGACCTTCGACTAATGAATCATGGATTCCAAACTATCACAAAATATCTGCAGCTCTTATTCCAAGTACATGAACTATATCAGCATAGTTGGTGTCGAAGTATTCGACTTTATGATAATGGGTTATGGTGTTGAACCCCGCTTGAACCAATCGAGATCTGAACACTAAGGTATTACTAATAATCCTCATATGTCCATGGTGGTTGAGTGCCATCTTCTTTTCACCAAGGAGAAATGAATCATTTTTCTTCATTAATACACGTAGCTGAAGCGGTAGTAATAAGACTGATGAAACTTTAACTTTGTATTAAGAAAGATCATGTTCAAACATTATTCCTCCCATGATCTTCAGTAAACTAAAGGTCACTCTTATCTTCGTTATTCATTGTCTTTTCGTTCATTATTACATTATTCATCAGTATACATGTGTCACCAAAATATTACCAAATCTAATATGAAAATCCAATTTGTTGACAGTCCTTAAATTTCGCTCCATTTTGATAATGTATTCGACCCTAACTTATCTTGTTTTATGTTGTATAAATGCATTTTATAATTGTAGAACCAGATGAGAATTTCTTGTAAAGAATATGCTTCACTCAAATTGTTTCCTTTTACTGAGCACTGGAGTCAAGAAGATGTTACTACTCAGCTTTTTGACCAAATAATTCGTTAAGGAATAGGCCGAATGAAACTACAAGTGATTATTTCTCCATTGAAAATGGCATATAACTGTTTCGAATTATGAAATCAACTTGAGTTCCTACTATGAAACATAATGCGCTAAGCTTTTTTTGAGAAGGAAAGGAAATATATGCTGTTTCTTTTTTGAGGAAGTTTCAGTGTAGGTGATTACAAAAGTGAAAACGTTAGTTGATCACGGTCAACCAGTGATATGCACAATTCAAGTTTTAAAAAAATTCTTGTTGTTTCATTCTAGACTTATTGTTGAAGAACCACCTGGGCATAGAGATTAGCCGAGATAAGTAAGAACTGTTATGCTAGATAAAAACATCTATGGGGTTGAATATTTGTTAGAGTTTCAAGATTAGAATTGAAAAAAATTTAATTACGTAGAGTTAGGTTTAACCTTAAAAAAATAGGATTAAGTTTGTCGGTGATGAAGCTGAACGATATTGTAGCATTTACTCCAATCGACCCCAAGAAATTCAACATTATTTGCATAATTCAGAAGAAAAAAAATCGGAATTCCAGAGAAAAGTATGACTGTACAATGGTCAAATTTGTTATACAGTTCAGTTATTATTTCCAAGGTTTTTTGAAGCACACAGCTGGAAGGTTTATATTTTCTGAAAGTTATTATCGATACTACTAGTGAGTAACTTATGTTTTTGAGCATAATATTTTACCCTTGTATTGAAGTAGTGGGAGTGCATTCAGACACATGAAATAGGTGCAATATACATCCTTTGTCAGTTGTAGCTTGTATGTTGTTGGCTGTTATATCATCTCAATTATAAGTGTGAAAATTTATGTCAACTACTGTTAAACACACAGAACCAGTGATAAATGTTATAAGAAAATGAGAACAGTTTTTTTGACTGAATACCGTAGGCGAAACTATTATTATTATTATTATTATTATTATTATTAGTCCCTTGGGTTCCTAGTGGAACATAGGGCTTCAGTAGCACGCCTCCAGTGACCTCTGTTCTCTGAGATCTTTTGAACCTGGTCCCACGACAGCCCACAACCTCTCATTTCCTCCTCGCACGACCTCCTCCATGTCACCCTTACCTCGGACACCCAACTCGTCGCTTCCCATGGGGATTCCACTCGAGGGCCTGACGCGTGATGTCCTCAGTGAGGCGAAACTAAGAACGTGAAATATTCGAACTTCTTTGTTTACAAGATTAATTTATACAAAGAATGAAATATCAAGATAATACTCGTTGTAAGGAGAACTAGCTGTCAGTTATACGAGGATATTTAACAGTCTAATAGTCTAATATTGATAAAGTTATTTGCATCCCAAATGGGTTCGCTTACACTTACACAGGATACAAGCACTAATACGCATAAACACCTTTTTTCTTTCTTCTCTAATATCAATTACCAATTTAACTGAATCCCTTTCACCATCATCCCATCAACCATCTTTATCACTTGTTTACTATAAACTTTTCTAACAAGATTAATTTCTTAAATATGAATTAATAATTACATTGTACAAATAAGAAATTTTGTACAATTTCATATGGATTAAAGAAATAAAATTTATCATAGTAATGAAAAGAAAAACACACACTGACAAACAGGTCAACATCAAACCTTTACAAAGAAAGTGTATTGCTTCAAGCTGTCACAGTCTACAATAACACCATAGAAACAGGAAGGGAACGGGAAAAAACGGATATGAAAGATGATACTGTAAAGGTAATAAGTGTGAAAACTAGTAAATAAACATTCAAAACTTTGAAGATGAATACATCTGTTACAATTATTCACGTCAGTCAGCCATCAAGACAAAATCGGAGATATCGAGCAACATCCCTGAAGAAACAAACACATGTGGATGAACACTGCAACTTTTTGAAAGCTATGTGCAAAGAAACCTGCATAACCATACTAGGCAGGAAGAAGATAAGGAATGGATCTCGACGGATACATGGAAGTTGATAGAGCAGGGAGAGGAGGATGGTGAAGCAGAAGATAAACCATTTCAAACATGAACAACGAGAAGAGGAACTGAGTACAATGTAGAAAACACTACACTGGACAAAGAAGTGAAGAAGAGTGTGTGAAAAGACAAAAGACACTTCTACGACACACTCACAAGTAAAGCGGAACAGGCTGCAGCTAAGAGGGACAGAGACCTGACAACACTATATCAAATAACCGGGTTACTATCCGGGAAGAGGTCAACTCAGATGGAACCAAGGAAAGATAGTGAACGAGACACAGCTAACACCAAAGAAGAGAAACAAAAGAAACAATGGGCTGGCCACTTCAAAAAGCTCTTGAATCAACCACCACCACCACCTGCACTTCGTCCACAAATCCATCAGCTACGGCAGAACTACCATTGAACACAGGCTCTCCGACAAAAGCGGAAGTCCTGAACGCCATAAAGTTACTGAAATCCAGGATAGCAGCAGGAGCAGATGGAATTCCACCAGAAGAACTGAAAACACACGCAGGGACAACAGCGGACATGCTCACACCACTATTGCAGAAGCTTTAAAAGGAAGGAAAGGTACCTGCAGATTGGAAGAAGGGTTAATGAAGATGCCACATAGGAAGTGATTCACATTGGAAAGCCTAGTGACGCTTTTGAAGTGAGGTGAAGACAGGAGTAAGACAAGGCTGCCTACTACCATCCATGATCTTCCTGATTGTGGTGGACAGAATCATGCAACAAAATGTGAGGACCGAGATGATGGACATACGCTGTTTGGCCAATGGGTAGACGGTAAAAGATTTCGATCCCGCCCATGACGATTCGTGTCCGATATCGCACAAACTCGAAGCTCTAAAGGCGAAATCCAACTCTAGAGTTCTCCATTTGATTAATGTCATTCCATCAAGAATAACGGTGTTTAAATTAATCTGTTTGTAAATTATAACCACTTAAAATTTACCATCCTTCATTGTTAATCGATGTAGTGAAAAGAAGGAGAGGACTTTAAGAGAACTTTTGTTTGATAAAAACTAAAATCTTGCTCTGCATTAAAAGTTCATGGCTCAAAAGTACTACTCAACCCAATACAATGATAAAACTCAATGAACCAGTATAGCCTTAAGTATTGAGTCATGAAATGTACTTATTCTGTGAGGGGATTTATGATACCCCACCCAGCTGTTCTAACTAAAATACCTACAGATTTATTGAAGCCTGTGATCCGTTGCTTGAAAGTCAGGTTTCTTAACCAATGGATCTAAAACTCTATTCACTTCATATGAAGATAGAACAAACTAGTATTAGTTCTCATAATGAATACGTTATTATCCATCCAAATAGAAATAGGACCAGGGATTACTGTGTGACAGTACCAATTGTCAGAGCTGATATCACCAAATCAAGTAAAAAGGTAGTGAAGTGGAAGATGAAACAAGAAAAAACTAGTCCAAAGAAATATAAAGTACGAATAGAGGGAAAGGAAGAATGAGAGAATAGTGAGATTCGGTATAGCGTTAAGATGGGGATAATGTGTGTATACATCTGCGCCACTGGCATCAGTTCTCAGACATATCACCTAGAGTCTCCAATCACTGGTTCCTCTTGTCCTGTGGACCCCAACCACCTAGTCTGCATCGCCCTACATGGCTCAAACCAACAGTCAAACACTTCATACATTGGTGCCATGCTTTCGTCTGGTTGACTCCGGTCTTTTTCCAACCTGAACCTACTTCAGCCAACATTGTATGACGAGGCAATCGGTGACTAGGCATACGTAACATATGTCCCAGCCAGTCATCTCAATCAATGAAGGTTCACAACCGTGTCAACTGACTTGCCTCTTCTCCCTAAAACACTACACCTGATGACACCACGGAATACGGCCTATACTACGAAGGCAACGGTGGAAGAACACCGGAAGCTTTCTCATGTCTTCCACCTTCAATGGTCATGTTTCATAGCCATACAGGAGAACAGAGCGAACTGCTGTACACTACGCGCGACCACACGTTATTATAGTCTCAATGGATCGAAATTTCGTAACAGAATAGTAGAAAAAGAGAATCCAGCTAAATGCAACGAATTATACCTACAGATAGAAACGGAAAATCTTGAAAATTGGATTCAATGAAGTTTTGGCATTGAAGAGCATTAGATTGCTTCCAAACTGACTGATATTGTCTTCCAAATCAAAACAACTCATCATTTCTTCTGATATCTTACAATTTATTCGCATTTATAAGCACCAAATATTGATTGTGAATAACACTTAAACAGATTTAGAAGCAAATCGTTAGAGTACACATGCTTACACACACACACACACACATTCGAGTTGCTAAGGTTAAATCGATGATGATGATAGTAATTATTATTATTATGATAACAATAGTAATACTAACAAAGAGGAATATCTAAAACCTACCTGTATGAATACTAGCTAAATAAGCTGGTACATGAAATAAGATTTGAATATATTTTGCAGCAAATGTTAGAAATGCCGCTACAATGGATTGTTCAACCACAGTACTCAATGTTACCCCCAACCAGACTGGATTGGTTAGTACACGACGAAGGATAAGGATTAAAGCTATGAAAGTAAATGGAAAGAAAAAAACAATCGTTAAAATATAAGTAGAACATACCAGAACCTCGCCTGATTAACTAGTTCACTAGTTACTAGACGGTCCTAAGCCCGGATAAAGAGGGAAGGTTGGGCATACGGATAGCAACCCTACCCCATAAAACAAATCTAACCGCTAAACAAACTTCAAAGCAAAAACGAAATATAAAAAATAAAAACAACCTTATTCCTCGCTGGAATCGGAGAGGCGAAATGACGCCAGTTGGTGATAGCCTTCGGGAAGCCGATTGGCCGATGTGTTTCCTCTTCTCTCGATGAAAGCGAAAGTAAACGTGGGGACATGGAATGTCCGTACGATGCTTGAACCCAGCAAGGCAGCCCAGATTGCAAACGTGACAAGGTTGCCTACTATCCCCCATGATATTCCTGATTGTGGTCGACTGGACTGGATGATGCAGCAAACAGTGGGGAGCGAGAAGAGGAGGATACGCTGGCTGGACTGCGGAAAAGAACCTAGAAGATCTGGATTTCGCCAACGATGACTTCTGCCTGATGTCACATAAACCTGAAGATCTACAGGCAAAAACTAACAAGTTGACAGAAGAGGCGAGGCAGCGAAGACGGGACTTCAAGTGAATATAGAGAAAACAGAAGTGATGAAGATACCGCACCAACAACTCCAACAACAACAACAAACTCCAGTCACCATCAACGGGAGAAACTTAAAGGAAGTAACCTCCTTCACCTATATCTAGAGAGCACTGTTTCAACTACAGGCGGCACAGGCAAAGACGAGGACGTCAAAGTCAGCCAGGATCGGAAATGCAAGACAAACCTTCATTAGCCTGAAACCAGTGTGGAGATCTACTCCACTGCACGCAGCATGTGGAACAACATCCGGATTTTCAACACCAATGCCAGTCAAGTCAGTGCTTCTGTATGGTTCAGAGACTTGGCGCGTTACGAAAGGGATTTCCAATAAACTACAGACATTCATCAACAACTGCTTACGCTCAATACTGAAGATCAGATGGATTGCCAGAAAGAATAAGCAACAAGGAACTCGCTCTGGGAACGAACCAACCAAGAACCTATCACCCAACAAATATGCACTGGAAGGAAGTGGAGATAGATGGGACATACAATGAGAAGGCCGATTGAGGACATCACGCGTCAGGCCAGTTGCTCGAGTGGAACCTAGATGGGAAATGACGAGTTGGACGTCCGAGGGTGACATGGAGGAGATCGTGCGAGGAGGAAATGAGAGCTTCTGGGCTGTCGTGGAGCCAGGTTCAAAAGACTTCAGAGTACAGAGGTCACTGGAGACGTGCTACTGAAGCCCTATGTTCCACTAGGAACCCAAGGGACTAATAATAAAATAATAAAGAACATACCAGTACTTCATACTGAATTAGAATCTTTCAAATGATCACAGGGAGAAAAACCAAAAGATAGACAAGTAAAATCAACGTAGAACCTCACACACAAATGCGCTCACTTAATTTGCCACACTTTACAGTAGTATACAAAGAACAAATGGATAGAAAAAGAGTGATATCAAAGTAGACAAAGTTGTATGAGAGAAAAAAACCGTCTGAATATAACGGTTAGTGCAAATATTCAAGCTTTAGAAGACGTCAAGGAGTGAATACATCTGTGCCATTGTGACCAATTTTTCAGCCATGTTACCAAAGTCCTCAAAAACTTATTCCTATCATCTCAGCGACTTCAGTCATGCACTTCATCGATTTTTGATGATATTATGTTCTCTAAGTACAAACTTCTAAAGTTTGTGCTCATAATATTGTCTAGAATGACAATAAAAGCTCCACAATTAAACAATCCAGCTCACAGAACACAACACTATGAAAATTATCCTCCAGAGCTACAAATATTCTCTATCACTTCATCGACTGGTGCAACATCTTGGTTTGGTCCACTCTGATGAAACTGAATCCTTCAATTATAAACCCATGATATCTTCAAGATATTAGAACCAAGATTTTCATAAATGTTTGCATCACTTAAAGCAATAAGCAATGATATCATAATGTTAATGAAACCAACTTTCGTGCTGATATTCCAGTGAGTAATACATTTGCGATTGACTACACCTATTAATGTATTTTCAGTCAACTAGTATCACCAATACATGATATAACAGTTGTGGGTGCATAGTTACGAACAAAAGGTACAATCAGTAGACATGTCGGTTCAAGACTACCTCAGGTGATTGAATGAAATATAAGTTTTCTGCTATACAGAAAATGTCGCTGCGGGATCCAATTACCTATTAGTAAATTGCAAAATTAAAACCACTGTTGGATTTGAGAAAGAGACTTTAATGTATTTTTGAGATGAATGGGGATTTTTAACTTAGAAGTAGTATTCACCATGGACTGACATCATTTGGGGAACCATTCAAAAGCTGGGAGCACTGGACAGCTGTTTCGTCCGACTTAGTATGGGACTCCTCAGCAGTACGCACCTACGACCCGGCTACGGATCGAAATCAGGACCTTCAGATTTCACGGTGAACGCCCAAGGTCTTCAGTTAGCATCCAGTCGCGCTATGTCGTGAACTGATAGAAGTTGGAAATTGTGAATCACTGGAAATCGACCCAGTGGCTGAATGGTTAACGCGTTCACCGTGAAACATGAAAGTCCTGATTTCGATCCGTAGTCGGGTCGTGGGTGCGTACTGCTGAGGAGTCCCATACTAAGTCGGACGAAACAGCTGTTCAGTGCTCCTAGATTTTCAATGGTTCCCCAACTGATGTCAGTCCATGATGAATACTACTTCTAGAAAAGAGACTTTAAATCAACTGACTTCGGTAATGCAACTGACGTAGTAAACCGCTACATACCTAATCAAACTTAAGGCAGAAACTCTTCTACTCGGTTATGGTGTGAATGAAATCTGAAAAATCCTTTTGATATTTGAAGAAAAAGTTGTTTCATAGCTACTGAAAGTGCTTATTGTTTATGACTAATCTGGTTTCAAAGATATGCACCTATGAATTATGAGAATTAGACAGTCTTTACTTGTAACTAGTAGCATAAATTGTACGCTAGATGGAGGTTTATAATCTGGAGTTACTTTAGAGGCCATCTTAGCAAAAACTGAAATAACCAATTAGATCTCTGTAATTCTGCTGGGAAGGCAGATTTTGATAAAATATCGAAATTCGATTGGTTAGTTTAGCTGTTGTTAGGGTGGCCTTTTAAAGTCACTTATAACTTGCACAACGAGATTCATAGATTCACTAGTACGGTAGCCCACATTACTTTTTCATTCATCAACATAACCCTCGTCTAATATCTTGCTCTATTTAGTATGACTACCCTCTCAGAAATGTTTGTTTGACAAACGAAATATATTTTTACCGGTTATCAATCACAGGGATGAAGGTAGATTTTCCTTATCAAATTGGCATTCTTATCAGTCGACAAACTTTATCAACCTACTCTATATACTTTGAAATTAATATTCACAACTGTGAATGTGAATGGTAAAGTTTCTGAGCTGATTCAATACTTAAAATAGATTGCTTTTTACATTGAATAATGTGATGAAAAGACGAATAAATTCTTCACATTTGCAGGTAATTATAAATCACAGGATCAGTTATCATGTGAGTGCTCATATCAAATCCCCTAGCCAGCTTTGTCACATAAATTACCTACATCATATATGAGAACGTGTCAAGTATAGAATTTGGGCACTGCGGTAGAATGTAATTCTATATTACATTAGTCTATTTAAATAAGTAATTCAGTAAACAATTATTACTGTGCGCTAAGTCAGAGAGAACCTCGCTGGACCATTGAAACGTGCCTAGAAGATTTGGATTTCGCCGGCAGAAACCTAAAGAAAGTTGTCTCTTTCACCAACACCTATCAAGGGAGCATAATTTTAACTACAGGCGTCACAGGCACAGACGAGGATGTCAAAACCAGGATCAGAAAGATAGCAAGACAGGCTTTCAATAATCTGAAATCAGTGTGGAGATCTACTGCACTCAGCACAAAGCGTGAACAATATCCGTATTTATAACACCAATCGAGTGAAGTGATTGCTTCTATGTGATGGTTGAGAGACTTGGCGCGTTATGGAACGCACTTCCAACAAACTACAGACATTCATTAACAGCTGCTGCCTACGCTCACTGGATACTGAAGATCAGATGAGATGGCCAGAAAGAATGAGCAACAAGGAACTCTGGCGTAGCAGCGAAGCAACGGAGCGAGAACATATCACCCAAGAAATGTCCAGAAGAAGAGAGTGACGATGGATTTGTTATACACTGAGAAGGGGGATTGGGGACATCACGTGCCAGTTCAGGCCCTGGAGTTGAGTGTAGAGGGGAAACGACGAGTTGGGCGTCCGAGGTGAGGGTGACATGGAGGCGATGATGTGAGGAAGAAATGGAAGCTTGTGGGGAGTGGTGGAGCGAGGTTCAAAAGACTTGAGAGAAGAGAGTGGAATTGAGGTGTGCTACTGAAGCCTTATGTTCCACTAGGAATTCAAGGGAAAAATAATAATAATAAGTCAGAGAGACTACTTTAATATGGAATGTGAAGTCAGTTTAAATATGCAACTTTCAAATTAGACGATGAAGAGGGATAACTTGCTGGTTGTACGATTGTTAGGCAAAGTCTGGTCCGTGTGACCAGATCATGATGAATTTTAATTCCATATATGTTGGTCACAATTTAATGAACTCAAGAAAAAGCCAGTTATGATCTTTATCGCACAGATAAGTTACAATAAGCAAAATAAAGGTGAGTGACTAGTTGACTTTGAGCTTCAATGTTTCATAATGACCATTTTATCATTGATGTCGGTGACTTAATCAGGGTCAACTTTACCTATGTTCCAAGAGGATACAATACGTACGCTTGAACAACAGCTAACTTTGCATACAAGATCCACCGAGTACAACCCTCGTTGAAATAGTGAGGACTAGACTGGATGGGAGAATTTATTCCTCCAAGAAGAACAG